AGACTTAGACCTGAGTGCAAAAATGGAGGCTCTAGCCCCTTCCAGAGCTGAGATATCGAAACTCAAAAATTCGGCCCGAAAAAAAAAACGACAGTGGTACCCCTTACGTTTTTTTTTTTGGGCGAAAAATTAAGTTTCTCCAATCTTCCCAAAACTCTGGATTCTGATAGAGGGCCATGAGACTTAGACCTGAGTGCAAAAATGGAGGCTCTAGCCCCTTCCAGAGCTGAGATATCGAAACTCAAAAATTCGGCCCGAAAAAAAAAACGACAGTGGTACCCCTTACGTTTTTTTTTTTTTGGGCGAAAAATTAAGTTTCTCCAATCTTCCCAAAACTCTGGATTCTGATAGAGGGCCATGAGACTTAGACCTGAGTGCAAAAATGGAGGCTCTAGCCCCTTCCAGAGCTGAGATATCGAAACTCAAAAATTCGGCCCGAAAAAAAAACGACAGTGGTACCCCTTACGTTTTTTTTTTTGGGCGAAAAATTAAGTTTCTCCAATCTTCCCAAAACTCTGGATTCTGATAGAGGGCCATGAGACTTAGACCTGAGTGCAAAAATGGAGGCTCTAGCCCCTTCCAGAGCTGAGATATCGAAACTCAAAAATTCGGCCCGAAAAAAAAAACGACAGTGGTACCCCTTACGTTTTTTTTTTTGGGCGAAAAATTAAGTTTCTCCAATCTTCCCAAAACTCTGGATTCTGATAGAGGGCCATGAGACTTAGACCTGAGTGCAAAAATGGAGGCTCTAGCCCCTTCCAGAGCTGAGATATCGAAACTCAAAAATTCGGCCCGAAAAAAAAACGACAGTGGTACCCCTTACGTTTTTTTTTTTTGGGCGAAAAATTAAGTTTCTCCAATCTTCCCAAAACTCTGGATTCTGATAGAGGGCCATGAGACTTAGACCTGAGTGCAAAAATGGAGGCTCTAGCCCCTTCCAGAGCTGAGATATCGAAACTCAAAAATTCGGCCCGAAAAAAAAACGACAGTGGTACCCCTTACGTTTTTTTTTTTTGGGCGAAAAATTAAGTTTCTCCAATCTTCCCAAAACTCTGGATTCTGATAGAGGGCCATGAGACTTAGACCTGAGTGCAAAAATGGAGGCTCTAGCCCCTTCCAGAGCTGAGATATCGAAACTCAAAAATTCGGCCCGAAAAAAAAAACGACAGTGGTACCCCTTACGTTTTTTTTTTTTGGGCGAAAAATTAAGTTTCTCCAATCTTCCCAAAACTCTGGATTCTGATAGAGGGCCATGAGACTTAGACCTGAGTGCAAAAATGGAGGCTCTAGCCCCTTCCAGAGCTGAGATATCGAAACTCAAAAATTCGGCCCGAAAAAAAAACGACAGTGGTACCCCTTACGTTTTTTTTTTGGGCGAAAAATTAAGTTTCTCCAATCTTCCCAAAACTCTGGATTCTGATAGAGGGCCATGAGACTTAGACCTGAGTGCAAAAATGGAGGCTCTAGCCCCTTCCAGAGCTGAGATATCGAAACTCAAAAATTCGGCCCGAAAAAAAAACGACAGTGGTACCCCTTACGTTTTTTTTTTTGGGCGAAAAATTAAGTTTCTCCAATCTTCCAAAACTCTGGATTCTGATAGAGGGCCATGAGACTTAGACCTGAGTGCAAAAATGGAGGCTCTAGCCCCTTCCAGAGCTGAGATATCGAAACTCAAAAATTCGGCCCGAAAAAAAAAACGACAGTGGTACCCCTTACGTTTTTTTTTTTTGGGCGAAAAATTAAGTTTCTCCAATCTTCCCAAAACTCTGGATTCTGATAGAGGGCCATGAGACTTAGACCTGAGTGCAAAAATGGAGGCTCTAGCCCCTTCCAGAGCTGAGATATCGAAACTCAAAAATTCGGCCCGAAAAAAAAACGACAGTGGTACCCCTTACGTTTTTTTTTTTGGGCGAAAAATTAAGTTTCTCCAATCTTCCCAAAACTCTGGATTCTGATAGAGGGCCATGAGACTTAGACCTGAGTGCAAAAATGGAGGCTCTAGCCCCTTCCAGAGCTGAGATATCGAAACTCAAAAATTCGGCCCGAAAAAAAAACGACAGTGGTACCCCTTACGTTTTTTTTTTTGGGCGAAAAATTAAGTTTCTCCAATCTTCCCAAAACTCTGGATTCTGATAGAGGGCCATGAGACTTAGACCTGAGTGCAAAAATGGAGGCTCTAGCCCCTTCCAGAGCTGAGATATCGAAACTCAAAAATTCGGCCCGAAAAAAAAAACGACAGTGGTACCCCTTACGTTTTTTTTTTTTGGCGAAAAATTAAGTTTCTCCAATCTTCCCAAAACTCTGGATTCTGATAGAGGGCCATGAGACTTAGACCTGAGTGCAAAAATGGAGGCTCTAGCCCCTTCCAGAGCTGAGATATCGAAACTCAAAAATTCGGCCCGAAAAAAAAACGACAGTGGTACCCCTTACGTTTTTTTTTTTTGGGCGAAAAATTAAGTTTCTCCAATCTTCCCAAAACTCTGGATTCTGATAGAGGGCCATGAGACTTAGACCTGAGTGCAAAAATGGAGGCTCTAGCCCCTTCCAGAGCTGAGATATCGAAACTCAAAAATTCGGCCCGAAAAAAAAAACGACAGTGGTACCCCTTACGTTTTTTTTTTTTGGGCGAAAAATTAAGTTTCTCCAATCTTCCCAAAACTCTGGATTCTGATAGAGGGCCATGAGACTTAGACCTGAGTGCAAAAATGGAGGCTCTAGCCCCTTCCAGAGCTGAGATATCGAAACTCAAAAATTCGGCCCGAAAAAAAAACGACAGTGGTACCCCTTACGTTTTTTTTTTTGGGCGAAAAATTAAGTTTCTCCAATCTTCCCAAAACTCTGGATTCTGATAGAGGGCCATGAGACTTAGACCTGAGTGCAAAAATGGAGGCTCTAGCCCCTTCCAGAGCTGAGATATCGAAACTCAAAAATTCGGCCCGAAAAAAAAACGACAGTGGTACCCCTTACGTTTTTTTTTTTTGGGCGAAAAATTAAGTTTCTCCAATCTTCCCAAAACTCTGGATTCTGATAGAGGGCCATGAGACTTAGACCTGAGTGCAAAAATGGAGGCTCTAGCCCCTTCCAGAGCTGAGATATCGAAACTCAAAAATTCGGCCCGAAAAAAAAACGACAGTGGTACCCCTTACGTTTTTTTTTTGGGGCGAAAAATTAAGTTTCTCCAATCTTCCCAAAACTCTGGATTCTGATAGAGGGCCATGAGACTTAGACCTGAGTGCAAAAATGGAGGCTCTAGCCCCTTCCAGAGCTGAGATATCGAAACTCAAAAATTCGGCCCGAAAAAAAAACGACAGTGGTACCCCTTACGTTTTTTTTTTTTTGGCGAAAAATTAAGTTTCTCCAATCTTCCCAAAACTCTGGATTCTGATAGAGGGCCATGAGACTTAGACCTGAGTGCAAAAATGGAGGCTCTAGCCCCTTCCAGAGCTGAGATATCGAAACTCAAAAATTCGGCCCGAAAAAAAAACGACAGTGGTACCCCTTACGTTTTTTTTTTGGCGAAAAATTAAGTTTCTCCAATCTTCCCAAAACTCTGGATTCTGATAGAGGGCCATGAGACTTAGACCTGAGTGCAAAAATGGAGGCTCTAGCCCCTTCCAGAGCTGAGATATCGAAACTCAAAAATTCGGCCCGAAAAAAAACGACAGTGGTACCCCTTACGTTTTTTTTTTTTGGGGCGAAAAATTAAAAACTCCCAAAACTCTGGATTCTGATAGAGGGCCATGATGCCCGAATCTCCCGCGGAAATCCACCAGTATCATGTGACACTGGAGACTGGAGTAATGATGACGATTTAGAAAAGGTTCATAAAATTTCACAATATAACATTTTTTTTTTGCTGTATTTTAAATCAAACAAATGCAGCCATGGAGAGCATAAGAGGCTTCTTTCAAAAAAATGAACAAACCCCATACTTATGAACGGTATTGTAAATAATAAAAGAATGTAACTGTATTTGTAATGTAAATACAGTATAATAAAACATAGCAGTTTCCGTGCATCAGGCCTAATCATACCAGAGAGCTGCAGAGAAAGCTGTAACTGCAGTAATTTCAGTTTCTGAAGAATCCCCAGGTGTGTGAGAGTCCTGTCTGTCATCATCATCATCATCATAGCAGCAGCAGGAACAGTGAATCTGAATCCAGGAGCTCTGTGTGGACTTGTTCTGCTGAACTTCTGAGGGAACGTCATAAAAACTAAACTAACGTCATCACCACAGATTGTGTCAATTATACAACTATACCATAAATCCAACATGTTTGTATAAGTTTCCTTTACCACTTTAATCTCACATGAATAAACACATACTGCTAATAAAGTGTGTGTGAGTCAGATCTTGCCAATGTGAGAATGTGTCATAAACGTGTTGCTTGTAAAGACCTCAGGGCTGTTTTACTATGAGTAATTTCCAGTGACGTTTATGTTTTAATGTAATGCCAGCAGGCAAAAGCAACTGTAACTTCACAATCTGAGGCAGGACTACAAGCTGTTTGCACTTTCAAATACTCTCTCATCTTTGTAAAGGCTTGAAAACATGTTTATCTATACATCTTTTTAAAGCTATTATCCTCTTCATGAAATGATTCTTAAAAATAAAGTTTTTTTTTATTAGAATCGGTTCCGGGAAGAACCTTCCCATTTGCATGCACTTCCAAAAGATGATGACTCGCTGTAAAAATGAATACAGAAAAAAATCTAACCGTTTTCAGAATCTTTGAGAAATTAAGTTATGTACAATGTATATTATGAGAATTTTTTTTTTTTTTTTACTTTTGATGAATGTAAATATATTGTAGGAGACGTCAAAAACAATTAGGAACTTTTGATAAAACCATAATGGGTTTACACTTTAAGAGTGTAATGCAAAACTGTTGCATTGCTGTAATAGCAAATATAAAGCACACCTCATAATGCAAATGCAAATGTTTGTAGAATCTGTTCCTCAGGTCAAAGCAGCACTAATGCATCAGTCACACAGTCCGTTTCATACAAAATTCTGTTGATTTATTTATTATGTTCTGTTCACATATTTACAGTTTAGCAACAACTTTTTACACATGCAGCATGACATTTTACATTCTGCAATAAATAACATTCATTCCATCGAGATGAAATACTCAGATATTATTTACAATAACAAAATTTCAACATGCTGGTGTTCTCAAAGCCTCTCAGTGTTTCTCATAAATCCCAGATTGCCACCACTGGCTATGTTCGGAAATGCATTCTAGCATACTACTTCTGCAGTGTATGTAGTATAGTATGTGTACTGCACTGAGTGGAACACAATACAGTGTTCGACTTGACCTTCCATTTCCAGAGTGACTTCTATACATCCTCATGTCTCATTATTTGATTAGACTTCCAAATGTTATATTTTAACCAAAAATGGGCTAAAAACATAAAAGAGACATATTTTTCAAAGATTAACAAATGTCACTCACTGAATTTAGCATGCAAAGCGATGAAGTCATGTGACACGTCACATACTACTGCTCTAAGTACTTCAGTATGCTAGTATTCCACTCCGTACATAACCGCTGAGATTCCAAGTAAACATCAAACTGTGCCCTATAAAGTGCAACAGGTGGCTTGCGGAAGTAAAAGACACATTCCTTTTCTGTATGGAAACTGATTTTTAACGCCAACTTCGCTCACCTACTGTGAGTTACTACTTCCGAAACCAAGGTTCCCAAAAAAGTGGACGGGCACTGTCGCACTCTATTACGACCTCAGTGAGTGGGTGGGGTTTCAGAGGCCTGTCAGTTCATTGGATGTTATTGCGGGTCTCTTCAGAGACAGCATGTCCTTCCAAAGGCACAGCTAGTTTGCTAGTTAACTTGAGGAAAAGTTGATAAAATTTGATAGGCAGCATCACACCTCATAAATCACTGTCTTGACATTCGAACACAAGCACGCACGCACACCTCATGAATGTAAGAGGAACACCTTAGTTTAGTTTGGAACCCCTTAGTTTACTTCTGATGCATTCTGGGTACATGTGAATGTACTTCCAAACGCTCAGGGCTGAATGTATATGCTGATGCATTTAGTGCTTGTGGCATTCAATCTGTTTGTCTTATATAATGTGTATGTGGCCGAGTCCTGCAGGAATACATTTCCTAAAGCAACAGTCCATGTGTGTGTAAATCTGTGTCCCGCACCCACGACACACCTGTATTGGGGTGTGTGTGCCGTTATTGGCCGCACAGTGTGTCGATTCTCCATCACACACACACAAACACACGTGTGCACGTTTACACAGCTACCTCCTTTTCCTCAGACTGCTTTCCAAGCGTCCGAGCTCCTCGTACCCCTGGTAGAAGAGCTCCAGTTCGCGGCCTCCCCAGCTCCGCCAGACAGCCAGGCACCAGTCCATGTTTTCTTTACGGAAGCCGCACACAACGGTGTCCTTTGCGACGAGCGCCGCCTCCACGAGAGTCCTGAGAGACAGACAGACAGAGAGTGAGACCAGAGGCGAGCGAGCGAGCGCTTTCGTGCAAGCGCTGAAAATAAACCACGCATGGACTCTTCGCAGAAGTATCAGCAGGTCTGTTCTTGGAACGTCTCATAGAGGAGCAGTTACAGGCCCTGAAAGCGTCGCTTGTTTGATTAATGTGTGTTTATGCAGAGAGCTGACGGGAGTCAGACAGGGACAGAGACTAGTTTATCATAAACATTTCACAACAACGCTAACTTAAAGTCCTCCCCGAAGACCTACGGAGCACACTAATAATGATGGTTTAGCTGAATGGATGATTCTTATTGTTAGCGCCTTGTTTTTACATTTATTATTAGCCATTCAGTTTTTTCAGAAAATGTAATACGTGTGTGCTTATTATGATTAATTGAATTATATATGCAACATCAATGTGTTTTATCATTCTGGCTGCTTTTCAATACTGTAATTGATTATTTCCTTGTCTTCTCACCCCTCCGTCTTGAGCATGTGACCTGGAAAGTGATTAAACTCTGCCATGAAGGCTGTATCAATTTTCTAATCGAGCTGGGAGGAACAAAGAGAAGGGAGGCTTCCAGAGGAGATGCACAGATGCACAAATCTATGCACAAATCTATATATTCAAAAACACCTGACACAAGCATTCATGCTTATGCTTTACCTGTGCAATAGAAATAAACCATTTATTTTGAAATTAAGGCCACGTCAACACAAAGCCGATGCGTTCCCTATCCAATATTTTTTTTCCCTCATTCTAAAAAAAAATAATAAAAAAATCCGTAAACATGGCGTCGTCTCAAGAAATATCTACGTACACACGACACCACTGAAACCGACTGAAAACGGTGTAGTATATATGTATGCCAGACCAGTATGGGGCGCTGTAATTCTGCCACACTATACACTGAGAAGAAGACTTTTTAGTATAATCTTGCGAGCAGTATATGAACCAAGAAGAAGAAGATGAAGATGGCGTGTGACGCAGCCGACACATGATGTGATGACATCATCGTTTCACAAAATATATAGACGAAACCGCAAGGGTGTCGTTTTCAGATTTATCCCCTTTGGGACCCAGTTTCAAAAAAATAGCGGTTTCACTCTCCCAAAATGCCGGATCCGTGTGGACGAAACACCAATACGATAAAAAAAAATGTATGACTATACAGCGAAACGCGTCTTTGTGTGGACGGGCCCTAAAAGTAATGATAAAATTGATATAAATAAACACCTAGTGAGATTACACTACTGAGATGTTTGTTTGATACAATTTAAAAATAAACAAAAAGATTTTATAGTCACATTTTTGTTCAACACAATATAAAAACGGTTATATTAAAAACATTAAATATATAAACAATACTGTATTTCACATTCAGTCACATACTGCTTTATGAATGTCGTAATTGAAATCCAGCCATATAAGGGTGGGTTCCTGAAGTTGCTTTGCAGTGACGCTTCAGAAATATTCCATTCAATAAATATAATTCACTGCTTCTATTCCTTCATCCTTGCATCCTAAGATGGAGAAGCTATAGGATGCAAAATGAAACAAGGAAAAGGGGTGGACAGATAAGGAATGAAAAGCAGCCACAGCTTTCACTTCAGTGTGGTGAAATCACTGTAACACACAGCCTCTTGTGTTTTCTTCTTTCATCAGCTTTATATCTGCCACTAGAACATCCAGGAAGACAAAATGCATAAAATATATGTGTTCTGAGGGATCAGCACAATTCATTTGTGCATGCGTGTGTTCGTAAAGGATTTTTACAAGGGTTTTGCCAGCAGTCAAAATGAGGCTGTGCGCACACACTTTAATGTTTGGTCACGTGAAGCCGCTGGGCTCTTATGGGGATGCATGAGAGTGTGTGTATGAATACTTATGGGGATGCATATGTGTGTGTGCATATGAAATTTAACAGGTTTATGAAGAACTACAACTGCTAATTGTAGCCATCTCTCATTTCAAACACATTTCTTGTTTAATAAGTTATTCTATTGGATTTTGAGGCAACTTCTTGCAGCTTTAAATATTTTAAAAATAAGACTCAATTCGCTTTCATCTACCAGAAAGAGTGTTTTGAAAGTCCCCCCCTCAAAAATCAATGCAGAAAATGCAAAAGACATCTGGCCTTGTTTATGGGCAGTAGAGCGCTACATCCATCCCTGATTTTCATTTGCTGCTGGCAATTGGTGTCACGAACAGTACGGAATTATATATATGTGGACACTGTGTGATTATTTACGTGACTGGCCGTTGACACGTACCCGTACTCTGGCACTCCAGGCGGCGTCAACACGGCTATCACACGACCCCTGAGTGACCCCGCCTGCTCTTGGACCTCGATAACCATGATGTCTCCTCTACGTCTGAAAACACATGAAAACGCAAAGTGAGCAGAGCGCTGACAACGCTGTCATTTTACACTTCACAATCACAAAGATAAACACAGGACACTTCAAATAAATCGGCCTGTGAATAATAAATATAGCTAGTTTAAAAGAAATGCAAAAAATAATCTACAACTTAGATATTTAAAAAAAATATATATATATATATAATACACTGCCCACAGTGCCCAGTCCAAAAAAAAAAAAAGTTGTTTTGTGTTCAGATCGGAATCCAACTGTGAAAGGATGGTTGGGCATTGAATGCATGAAGAATCAATTTCACACATGAATTGGCACCTCTAAACCATAAATTCATTGATGTGCTGGAGTAGACTTTACAGTGTGCTCGACTCTCTCTCATCTCTTGATGGAAATATCACCACAACATTTATTTCCATCAAGAGGTGCATACATTTTTGGTCAAAATCTTGACAATGCAAGAGTCGAGCTCTCTGTAAAGTCTCTTCCAGCACATCCCAAAGACATTTTAAACGAAATTCAAGGTCTGGACTCCGAGGTCTGCGTGAAATTCTTGTGTGAAACTGATTCTTCACACTCCTGTAACTGTTGTAGGCCAGTAGTTGCTGTGCATGTAAACCTCACTCCCCTGATCTCTGTGACTGACACTAGAGTTTGCAGTCTTTGCAGAGTTTGCAACCTCCTTGTTAGAGCGCCCACCTCCCACACTGGAGTAAGACCGGTTACACTCCCTCCCAACCATTCTTTCACAATCTGAGCCTGATGAATCTATTTGTCATCCTGAAATAGGGCCAGGATTTTTCCAACATTGTTGTTTTAAAAAAAAAAAATTGCCATTGACAGAATTTTTTGGCTTTCCGTGTTTTTATTGTTATATGGTAGGGGCGCAATTACACATCTTTTAAAAGAGTATTCAATCTCCTGATCAAAACACAGGAAAAGAAGCAGAAACAAGTGAAAGCATATGTAAGCAGATGCATATTTATATTTATAAGGAACACAATCATCAACATTTAACAGCATATAAATGAAAACTGCCTAATGTTACTGAACAAATGAATACATTTGAGGTTGTTGTTGGACTGGGTCTACTACATCTACATTTTGTTCATTGTTCTAGATCCAATCTGGATGTAGTCTTTAACAAAAAATGTTTGCTTAAAATGTTAATGTTAATGAAACTTACCCACATTCAAGACTAAGTGTTGATAAAAAAAGATTACGCTAGAATAAAACAGTTTTTTTTAAAGCTGAGGCTCTGTAACATATTGCATATATTCAGATATTCATATAACAAAATATTTTGGGGGCAATGGAAATTTTGTGAAAATGATCAAAAATGCTGGCGGTGGCTGGCACTTCTCATAAATACAGAGAGAAAAGAGTTAAATACAAACAGTGACTTTATATATATATATACAGTATATAGTCACTGTTTGTATTTAACTCTTTTCTCTTTGTATTTATGAGAAGTGCCATATATATATATATATATATATATATATACACACAAAGCTAGTTTTTGGGTGACCATTTAATATTTATTTATTTATTTAAGTGAAATAAAACCAGGAAACAAGGATGCGCAAAAAAAGGAATAAAAAGAAGCTGCTGCCATTTTGTCCACTTCAGTGTGTCAGTGATCAGAGTGCTATACACACACACACATATATATTTGGCCTGGTTGTTCAATTTCCTTAATTAAAATGAGCTAATGCAACAATTCTTGATCACATAATTTTAATGTCTTCAATCTGCTTACATTTGCAAAACAGATGTCTACTTCATCCATTTAAATAGAGACTACAGTACATGAATCATTTTTGTTGGCAAGAGAATTTGTAGTTCCCTTTCGTAGTCACTTCGAGTTACGTCAGAAGTGACGGAGATTGGGGGTTTCGCATAGAAAGCCAATCCTCTTCGAGTATTTAAACACGAGCCAATGGCATGCAATGCCTTGGGGCTGCGGAAATTTGCATAGCGTACTCCGCCCTACTCCGTGAGTATAAAAGGAGGAAGTGAACGCAACCGCAGTATGTTTTCGCTTCGGAGCCAAGAGAACCTCTTCACTCCTGAAAGCTATTACAAGACTCTTCGAGACGAGCGTCCTCTTCAGTGTTGGTGTGACGGCGGTACCCAGCGAGTTTCTGCATTGCCTGCGATCTGTGCAGTGGTCTGCCAGACTTTGCGCTTCTCCCTGGTCGCCTCAGCGCTGAAAGAGTGAATTTCCTCCTCTCTGTAAAAGAGCTACACGCGGCACGTCTTTTTAAAGACGGTTCGCCCGTGTTCTTCTGGATGCGGTCGATTTCTGTCGTCATCTGATGGTCGCGATCGCTGCTCTGTATGCCTGGGCATTCAGCATGCAGCAGCAGCGTTCGTGGATGACTCATGTTCCTGCTATGGGGACATGACCATCTCCACACTGAGGTTAAAAAAAAAAAAAAAAAAAGATATATATATATATATATAAAAAATTATATTTTATATATAGAATATATATTTTTATATAAAAAAAAAAAAAAAATCTCACTAGAGTGAGAGCCCCGGTCCCCCTTACTCGATCGGCTTCCTTCACGAAAGGGGGCCCGTCGACCGGGGACCCGGCGAATTAACGGTGACGGTGTGGCATAAAGCCCCGACGATTTCTCGGGCCACACCTCCCGCCTCAGTGCGTGAGCCAGCGAGCGTTAGTTCGATTCAGTCGGCTGCCTCTTCAGTGGTACCGGCTGCTTCGAGCAGCGCTCCAGATGATGATGTGATGTCGATCGCAGCATCACTAGGTGGGCTACAGTCCTCGGGAGATGAGGATGCGGCTGCACTGCCCCCTTCGGGAGAGCCAGCGCTGCCCGTGTCGGATCCCGAGCTGACGGCATGCTGTCTCAAGCCGCTGGGAGTATTGGGTTAGAGTGGCATCCTCCATTCTCCCCCGATCTCTCACGGAGGGATAATTGGTTTTTGGACAAAGCTGCCGCCGCAAGGCCACGGCCAACTCCATTGCCTTTTTTTCCCCGAGCTGCACGCGGAGTTATCGCGCTCTTGGGGGACTCCTCTGTCCACTCGAGAGCGCGATCTCTCCCCCGCCTTTCCCCCTCGATGGGGGGCCGCCCGTGGGTGCACTGGGATGCCCCCGCTGGAGCGTTCTGTTGCGATACAGCTGTGTCCACAGGGCGCCTCCTCCGTGGTCCTCCTAGGCACCCATCCAAAGCCTGTAGGTTCTCGTTTGCCATGGCGGCGCGTTCCTATAGAGCGGCGGGACGGGCGGCCTCCGCTTTGCATGCGATGAGCACTGTGCAAGCGCAGATGCTCAGAGATATTCTCGACGGCGGGACTGATCCAACGGCATTCGAAGATTTGCGGTCCGCCACTGACCTTGCTCTCCAAAAGGGCAACGAAAGTGGCCGCTCGCGCCGTTGGTCAGGTGATGGCCACTAGTGTGGTCCAGGAGCGTCAACCTGGCAGACACTCGGAGCGCTGAGCGGATTCGTCTGCTCGACGCCCTTCTCTCCCAGGTTGGCCTTTTTTGGCGGTGCAGTCGAGAACTCTTGCCCAGCAGTCTCCACTGCCCAGGAGCAGACGGAGGCAATCAAACATGTTCTGCCCGACGACCAGCTGCTGCCTCCACCCAGTCGTCGGCTCAGATGCCTCCCGCTGCTCGCCGCCGAGGACGCCCCCCGCGGCTCCCCTGCCTCCCGCCCCGCCCCAGCAGCAGCCTTCATCCGGGCCACGGCGTGGAGGAGGCCGCCGGCAGGCGTCACAGCCCCCTCAGGCCGCACACCCCGCTAAATGCCAGGTAAGCGATGATCCTGATACGGGCTGCTCAGTGATGGAGTTGAGTTTTTCCCCAGGAGGCGGGAGCAGGCCCCCTCCTGCCCCCGGTGGAGGGCCGGGGGGAAAATCTTTCGTTTTCAGTTCCCGCTGCTCGCCCACGGGTGGGCAGCGCCCTGAGTTGGTTAAGAAAGACTTGACATCATCACTGAGCCCACAGACTGGAATGAGTGCGCTCGACGTTCCAGTGCGTCAGCCCACACATTCCTCTCTGTCTCTGAGGGTGCGGAAGGGTGCGAGTGTCGTCCCCGGGCTACGCCAATCCCTTCCCCCTCTGTCGCCAGACCCCCGGCGGAACGGACCCCCGTGGAACGCTCCGCTTTCCCTGGTCCCTTCCGTCAGGGAGCGGGCTTCGACGCATCCGAGCGGGGTCATCCCTGCACGCGTGCCAGTCGACCCGCCACGCTGCCCCTCCGGGGGACGTCTGTGGTTCACATGACCCCGTTGGCTCACTTCCTGGAAGCCTGGCTAGTGCTTCCCGGGATATCCCGCTGGGTCATCAGAACGATCAGATTCGGCTACGCGATTCAGATCGCACGGTCTCCTCCCCGCTTCAGGGGAGTTCGCTCCACGATAGTTGGTGGCAATGCCCCACTCCTGAGAGCGGAGATTGCGACCCTGCTGGCGAAGGGTGCAATCGAGACGGTCCCTCCAGCCGAGGTGGAGTCCGGGTTTTACAGCCCCTACTTCATTGTCCCCAAGAAGACCGGTGGGTTTACGACCGATCCTGGACCTGCGCATTTTGAACCGTTCTCTCCATCGACTACCGTTCAAAATGCTCACGGCCAAACGCATTTTCGAATGTGTTCGGTATCAGGATTGGTTTGCAGCGATCGACCTGAAGGACGCGTACTTCCATGTGTCCATCTTACCTCGACACAGACCGTTTCTTCGGTTTGCCTTCGAGGGCCAGGCATATCAGTACGCCGTTCTCCCATTCGGGTTAGCTCTGTCCCCTCGCGTCTTCACGAAGATCGTCGAGACAGCCCTTGTTCCCCTTCGCGAACACGGGGTTCGCATCCTGAATTATCTCGATGACTGGCTGATACTAGCACACTCTCGAGCTCAGCTTTGCGAACACAGAGACTTGGTGCTCCGGCACCTAGCCCGTTTGGGCCTTCGGGTCAACCGGGAAAAGAGCAAACTTTGCCCCGTGCAGAGGATCTCTTTTCTCGGCATGGAGATAGACTCGGTCGCCATGTC